AAGATAAAACTTTGGAAAATCATCTCAAATTGTATTATAGATAGGAATAGTTCTCCATCCTACTCAATTTATCGTCAGAACCCAATCTCAAAATTGCGAACTATTAGGACGCCATAGATGCAATGTAGAATTTGGAGCTACGAATAAATAATAAACCTCCAACACGATAGAGTTTGAAGACAGCTCTACGTCGTATACTAGAAATTAGAGGATAATTTTGAGCAGTCAATCAAAAAATTAATACAGGCAGCTGTGCCTATGAGGCTTGTAGAGAGTATAAGTGATTTTAAAGCTGATTTCTGAAATATAGCTGAAACCCAAGCTGAATCTCGTTTATATTAAGGATAATAGGAATTTTAAAATGAAGAAAAACTTTTTAGGTCGCTCTAAGTCAGCCTCGTTTATAAGGCTAACAGAAACGTATCAGACACTACGCTCTATTTAATATAGAGGGTCGGAGAGTCCGGAGAGATCTAAGTTAGCATAATTAAAGGGTTGCTTAGAATATCTCTGACCGACGATAGAGGGACAGGAAGGAGGCTTTGTGAAACTTGAATATGGATGAAAATTTAGCAAGAATGAGCAGTTCTACATTTTTTTTTTGTATATCGCTCGAAACAACAGTGCAAAAATTGCGTTGGGGTTATTATAATGGAATTTAACATTTGTTGTTTTGTGTAAAGCATTATCACAGCTAAAAAAAATGGCGGTGTCCTCGTTTACTTTTTCCTTATCTGATTTAACTTGAAAATACATAAGATAATCGCGTAATTTTTATAGAAAGTTTCCTTCTATAAGGAATATCATATAATATCAAGTTAACGTTAGATAAGCTCAAATTAATCCAAAAATTTCCAATTATCAGGAGGACATATATTTAGAGCAAAACCCAAGTTTAATTATAATATAGAGTTTCAAGCTGCTCTACGAACAGGAACCAAGAGTTTCTGTGTAAGTGCTATAGAAAGATTAACCCAGGTAGTCTCAAATCGGCTCCGGCTATGAGGCTAGCAAAAAGTAAGGATGGATTTGGATGCTGATTTCTGGAATGGTGTCAAATTGAAACCCAGGCTTCTCTAAGTCAGCCCCTTTTACAAGGATAACAGAACAGTGAAAACGATTTTTGAGGCCTGGATTTTAACTTTAGCAAGCTCTATTATTGTGAATCTTTTCGTTCAAATGATTTGAAATATTCCAGGGTTTGTAGTCCTTTACTAGAATAAAATTTTCTGGAAATTTAAGATTCCTATTATATCCAGCATTGTTAAAAATTGCAACAAGATGGATAGATTATCAATTGGTTGCCGGAAATGTGTTCGTCAAATAATTAGGATTTACAATCTGCATCCGTAACCACTTATTTTCCATCTACAAAATTAAGCCTTTATTTATATCCAGTCGTCACAAACTCAGGGGTGAAATAAAAATCAAGAAAATCAAAATAATGGCCACACGTAAAGAGCCTAATGACACGAGTAGCAGGCGTGCATTCCAGACTATTAAAAGCAAGATTTATGGCGTAAAAAAGTCTCTCTCTAAACGTCTACAAATTGTCGAGCCGGTAAATGAGTCTCATTTGTCACGGGCCTTAATACACATCCAACTTAATTTCGTAGACCAGTCACCCACTAAATTTGTATTGTTGACACTTTTATTTGTTTGAATTTCTGAGGTTTAAATTTTGCAACTGGTAATTAATCGAACCGTTAACTGATGCCTAGCTTACTGGCTCAAATATATTTTTATACAGAATTTCGTTTTGTACAATTAAGAATAAATAGTTTGTCAGCAAGTTGTTCCTGATGCAATTAAGTAAATGTTCCTATTATCGGCACTATCCCAATTATCGGCACTTTTTCATTACAAACCTTGAAAATAAGGTTTCTATCGAAAGATAGTTGAATAAAAGTATTTCACGTATTTCTGCGGACCTTTACCTACGTCACTGCAAAATCCAGCGATCTTCAGCCTAAATCGGTAATGACAACTGTCAAAACTATATTGGTCACTTGGCGCCAAACTCCTGTGTGAAGCTTTTCTTGTTACATGTGTTAAGAAACAGGTAAGCTACATCGTGTTATACTTCCTGATTAATCTTTTGTATGAACATTTTCTTAGGTTTTGTATGTTTAGATATCATTATTTTTGATATTTATAGGTTGAAAACTATTTTTTCTACAAACGTCACTAAAAGTGTCATTTTTAACGGATGCTGTCAGTGTCTAAAATGCCATTTTATGGCACTGGTGTTAAAAGTGATTACTTTTAGCACTAGTGCTAAAAGTAATCACTTTTAGTGCGTTTGTAGAAAAAATAGTGTATGATATTCGTGCTAAAAGTGATTTTATTTTGTTCAAAGGAATGGAACACTCCGCCTTTGGCGTCGTGTCCCAAACTTCCCTTTTCACAAAATAAAATGTCACTTTTAGCACTTATATCATAAATAACTATTTTTTTATATTTTTTCAAGTATTTCATGGGTGCCGATAATGGGTACGTAAATATAAGTTGCTGCTCCAATCATCGGCACCTGTGCCGATAATTGGTTGTTTGTATAAGTTGGTATTAAGATCGATTTTAGCTTTAACTTTCATCTTGTCCTAAGAAATGTTTGCTCATTATATGCAATATGAAGCCATGATATTTCGGACCAATTTTCGGCACCCCATATTTCCACTACTTACTAGCCTTTTCTTAACGTGAAAACTGTGCCGATAATACATGCATTCACGTGCCGATAATTGGAAATTTATTTTTTTTAAGGTCGCAATGGAAAAAAAAAAACGAATTCAATATTCTGTTGAAGCTATTAGTACAGCTGTTGACGCTGTTCGATCAGGAATGCCATTCAAAACTGCTAGCAAGTTATATAAAGATACCTAGATCGACTCTTCAAGATAAAGTGAAGGGTAGAACACTTCTAGAGAAGAAATGTGGACCAGAAACGGTACTAACAAAAGAGGAAGAAAATTTACTGGTAGCATGGCTTTTTCGAATTGCGGATTTCCAGCAACTAAAACACAATTGTTAGATAGTGTTCAACTACTAGTTAAAGAATTGAATAGACCTAATAATTTTACAGATGGGAGACCCGGCCGGAAATGGTACGAATTATTTTTGAAAAGGCACCCAGAACTGAGTGCAAGAATTTCTCAAAATCTCACATGTGCTAGAAATAGCCTAACAGAAAACCGCATTCGACAATGGTTCACAGAAGTAGGAACTTTCTTAGAAACTGAAAACAATCTTAACATAACTTATGATCCCAGTCGTGTATTTAATTGTGATGAGGCAGCCTTTTTTCTTTGTGAGCAATGATGACAAAGAATGTCTAACGACTTTGGTTACGTGTAGTGCTTCCGGTCATATTTTACCATCAATGATCGTTTTTAGTTATAAAAGAATTCCCAAATCAGTTGTTGAAAAAGTACCAAAACACTGGGGAATCGGAAAGTCTGAAAATGGATGGATGACTGGGGAAACTTTTTTCGAGTATATTGCCAATATATTCCATCCTTGGCTAGTTGCTGAAAAAGTTCAGTTTCCTGTTATACTGTTTTTGGACGGACACACATCCCACCTAACGATGGCTCTCAGTAAATTTTGTACTGAAGCTAAGATTATTCTTATAGCTCTTTGTCCAAACGCAACACATATTTTGCAGCCCCTGGACGTGGCAGTTTTCCGGCCTCTAAAACTTGAGTGGAGAAAGAGCGTGCATCGTTGGAGGATGGAAAATAATGGACAGAAAATTACCAAAGATTTATTTGCACCCATTTTGGAAACAACTTTCCAAAAAATCACAAATATTCCCGATATAATCAAGAATGGTTTTAGGACTTGCGAACTTGTTCCTTTCAATGTAGAAAATATCAAATTTATCAAAACTGAGGTCAGAGCACAAGAAACTCTTGAAAAACAGGAAAAGCCTACAGAGGAACAAGCAGCCTTAAGAAGCTTAGAACAAAATATCTCAAAAGAGATACTCAGATTGTTCCACCTTTCCGGGCCAGTTTGGGAAGGAGCAGTAGAACACTCCAGCCTGTTTTCGCTCTGGAAAAAAATGAAGAACAAAATATCGAATAAAAACGACAATGAAATAGAGTTAACTGATCAAGTAGAGCATGATAATGAACTTCAAGAAGACTTTATTTTGGAAGATACAATTACAGAGATAGGAAATGAGAACCAAATGAATGTGACAGAAATAATTGAAAATTACGAATTCATAAATGATCAATTACAAAATGAACACGAAATCCAAGAACAATCAAATGTGGAAGGCATTACATTGATAGATGTAACACATGATAAACCAACTGACGTCACAAAAATACATGAAACTGATCAAATAGTAACTGAAGATTTACACTTTGAAAATAAATTCCAAGAACACTCAAAGGAGAAAGACATTTGCAGATAGAGATGACAATGAAATTGAAATTACAGAAATTATTAATACTGAAAATGTATCTCTCTTATTAGGCATTCTTGATGAAGAAATTCCCATCATATTTGTGAATACACCGGACAAAGCTAATCATGATGCAGTATTTGGAGATGTACTTACTGAAAATAATGATATCAATCAAGTACAACATACCTTGAATCCCAACTCAGCGCCAGAAATAAATGTTATTGGAGAAAGTATATCGGAAAACTCTTTTTTGAATTCAGAACGGAACTCTCAACAAATGGAAACTACTCTAGTTACCACGCCTACTAAAGTAGATTCAGAATTGAAAGAGACAAATTCGACTGTTTTGGAAAAAGAGATGCCTCTCCATCAAAATGTTACAGATGAATCTATTCCGAGTCCATTCGAGAAAAAATTATTTTGGCCTACTCCTAGGAAAATATTGCTAAGCGAAAATTAAAGGATAAAGTACCTGCTGTAGCAACATCATCTCAGTGGCAACAATACTATAACAAAAAAGAAGAAAAGAAAAAACAAGAAGAACAGCTAAAAATGCAAAGGAAGGAAAAAAGAACCATACAAAATGAAATTGATGTCGAAAATAAAAAGAAGAAAGTCAAAATCGCCGACTTACAACCTTCTATTAGATATTAGAAGAACTTCGAATCGAAGGGTAGCGACTAAACTACAGAAAGCTAAAAGGGACCTATTTTCAAAGAAAAAAAGCAGTGCGAGGAGTGCGAGCACTAACTTTTCAGCCACTGAACCCTCAACATCGAAACCTTTTGAGGAATCTTGGTATTGTGCAATATGCGACACTGAGGATCAGCTGGATATGCGCCTTTGTTCTTTCTGCCTGAAATACTTTCATGAGAATTGCGTTGGTTTGACAGAAGATGATGAAGATGAATTTCAATGTCCCTTTTGTTAGTAAATTATTTTGATTAATGTGAATTTAACTTTTACCAATGACATACCAAATATTTTAAGTTTATCTTTTAGAGAATACGTTTGCGTTATTAGAATTTTGAGTTTTTAACACGCTTATATTAGCTTCACCTGTATGTATGTACACTATCGGACAAAAGTAAAGCAACTCTTTTAAAAATATCCAATATTTAATTTTCAAAAATAAAATATGCATTAGCGATGAATGAAATCCTTTCAGTTTAAAAGGTCATAGTAAGCTACAGTGACAGGCTAAATATGATTATTTTCAAATGTCAAATTAACTTGTGTGCAATAATTTATATAAATAATACACTTTATTAGCGCGACAAAAGTAGAGCAACTTTTAAGAAATCAAAATTTTATTGCATTTAACAACACAAAAACAACAACTATAGCTAAAAGCTCATTGAAATAGACAATAATGAAAATAAATAACTTAATAGTTGATAGGATATCCATTGTTGGCTATGACTTTTTGGCAACGGCGCGGCATTGATGAAATTAAATTTCGGATAGTGACAATCGGCATATTAGTCCAAACCTCGTTGATTTTATCAATTAAAAACTGTTTGTTTGGAAATGTTGTGGTACGAATTTGACGTTCAACTTCTTCCCACAGGTTCTCGATAGGGTTGAGATCCGGTGATTGTGCTGGCCACTGCAGAACTCGGACATTGTTCTCCTGAAACCACCCCTGCACAAGACGAGAGGTGTGCTTGGGGTCATTGTCCTGTTGAAATACGAATCGCAAAGGCATTTCCCACTCAGCATAAGGCAACATTACATTTTGGAGTATGTCCCTGTATACCAATCGATCCATCGTCCCGTCTATGAAGTGCAATGGACCTACTCCAATCCATGAAAAGCAACCCCATAGAAACACACTTCCTCTTCCATGCTTTATGGTTGGTATAACATACTTTGGTTGAAACCTCGTATTAGTTGGACGTCTTACACGCCTCATTCCATCAGAATTGAAAATTTTATAACGAGTTTCGTCGCTAAATAAAAATGTTTCCCAGTCTTGAACTGTCCAATTTAGATGACGTTGTGCAAATTCGAGCCTGGCACGGCGATTTCTTTCAGAAACCAGCGGTTTCTTGGCTGGACGTCTGCTGTAAAGCTTTGCTTCAACTAATCTTCGTTGGACAGTCCTCGCACTTACTTCTAGTTCAGGAATTGCAGCAATTATTCTTGGTCCTGACAACCACGGATCTCTTTGGCAAACTCTTTTGATTCTCCTATCCATCCAAAATGTAGTTTTTCTAAACCTTCCTGATTTTGGCATTTTTTCTACATGTCCACGTTCATTGAAACGTGAAATTATTTTGGATACACTGTATTTTGGCAAAAGAAACTGCCTGGAAATGTCAACCAAACGCCTGCCTTCCAAGAAAGCGTCTACTACCATTTGTTTTAACTCCAGACAAATTGGTTTACCTTTTGGCATATTCAAATCTGTCAAAAAGACGAATAATCTTAATTTTTAACTCTATAAATATGTTTTCCATCTTACCTGAAACTCAAATCCCTTCTTTTTGGAAAAAATTAAAAAGTTGCTTTACTTTTGTCGCGCTAATAATGTGAATTGTTCAAATAAATTATTGCATACATTTTTGTTTGACGTTTGAAAACAATTGAATTTCGCCTATGACAGCAGTCAACTACAACCTTTTAAACTGGGATCATTTTAGCTTCCGTTATCAACAAGTGTATTTTTGATAGATGAATATTTTATTTTATAATAAGAGTTGCTCTACTTTTGTCCGATAGTGTATGTATGTATGTTTGTATGTTTGTATGTTTGTAAGTAACATTGAAAATGTTTATCGCACGGGCACATAGGGATGCGTGCGAACTTTTGGACCCTTGGGAAGTGTATGAACAAGAACCTGGAAGAAGCCAAGTGAGCTGGAACAAGTCAGGATAAATCTGGATAAAGCCTGGAAAAGTCTGGAAAATGTCTGGAAATCTCTGGAAACGTCTGGAAAGAGCCTGGAAATTTCTGGAAAGGGTCGGAAAAATTCTGCCAAAGGTCCCAAAAGACCTGAGGATCTTCTTCTAGAATCCGGATCAGCCTGTACAAGTCTGGATGTCTGGATAAGTCTGTATATTGTCTGTAAAAGTCTGGAAATCTCTGGAAACGTCTGGAAAAGACTTGGAAATTTCTGGAAAGGGTCGGAAAAATTCTGGAAAAGGTCCCAATAGACCTGCGGATCATTTTCTAGAATCGGGATCAGTCTGAAAAAGTCTGGATAAAGTCTGAAGAAATCTGGATGAAGTCTGGAAAACTCTGGAAAGCTCTGGATAAGTCTGGATAATGTCTGGAAAAGTCTGGAAACGTCTGGAAAAGTCTGGAAACGTCTGGAAAAGGCCTGGAAACTTCTTGAAAGGGTCGGAAAAATTCTGGAAAAGGTCCCAAAAGACCTGGGGATCATTTTCTAGAATTTGGAGCAGTCTGTACAAGTCTGGATAAGGGCTGGATAAATCTGGATGAAGTCTGTAAAACTCTGGATAAGTCTGGATATTGTCTGGAAGAGTCTGGAAATCTCTTGAAACATCTGGAAAAGGCCTGGAAACTTCTTGAAAGGGTCGGAAAAATTCTGGAAAAGGTCCCAAAAGACCTAGGGATCATTTTCCAGAATCCGGATCAGTCTGTACAAGTCTGGATAAATCTGGATGAAGTCTGGAAGACTCTGGATAAGTCTGGATAATGTCTGCAAAAGTCTGGAAATCTCTGGGGGAATTCAGGAATGACACACTCAGTGTGAGTGTGATACCGGTGCGGTGCGACGCACTAGCCGTTGATAAAGATAAATGGTGCAAAATATAAACAAAACACAAATAAGAATTAAAGTTTTTTCTTCAAAATAAAAAAATGAACAACAAAATAATACATCGAACTAAAAAGTGAAAAATAAATATAGTTTAAGAAAACTAAAAAACACGCTTTTATAGTAAATTAAACTAAAAAGTGAAATAGTATATTACATACCGAGGTGGGAAGAGTATCATTACTGTCGAGAGATTAGTTAGTTAACTGAGACGCGAAGCGTCGAAGTTAACTATAATCTCGAGACAGGAATGAAACTTCCTACCGAGGTTTGTATACTATTTTATTTACAAGAATTACAACCCTCATAATTTCGATTAAATACAAAAAAAAATAATAAAAATTTGTTAACAAGTTTTGACTCATTAAAAAAAACGTTTGACATGCAGGACTCGTCTTAAATATTTAAGGAAATGAGAACTTACTTTCCACCCGGGTGGAAAGTGAGCACTTTCCACCCGGGACCACTTTCCACCCGGGTGGAAAGTAAAATTCAAAAAAGTGGCACTTTCAAACTTTTGAAAAGTCAGAAACGTCAACATTACATATGTGGTTGTAAATAAAATAATTTTTAATATAAACAGAAAATATTAATGAACAAAAAATATTAGAATTATTGTTAAAAAAAGCGTGGGGTGCTCAATGTACGAGAAATGTGGAACAAAGCACCCCACGCTTTTTTCACAATAATTCTAATATTTTTTGTTCATTAATATTTTCTGTTTATATTAAAAATTATTTTTCACTTTTTAGTTTAATTTACTATAAAAGCGTGTTTTTTAGTTTTTTTAAACTATATTTATTTTTAAATAAATGTTTCTAAAAATCTGAATTATCGCCTTTTTACATTAATAACTTAATAGAATTTGGGTAACCTGATTCTGTGCCGATAAAAGGATCTTTTAGGTGCCGAAAATTGGAACATGAATTTATTTTAGGATGCCGTAAATAGGAGGGGCATAACAGTTTTTATATTTATTACTTTCAATAAATATTTCGCATTAGTTTTTGGTTGAAATAAATAATTCGTATGTAATGTGAGACCTTTTATCATCAGAATCGTTAATCAAAATATTAGTAGCTTGGGTATTTCATTTACTAATGGCGTTTCCGATTCGTAGATCTAGTGCGGAACTAGTGCAATTTTTTCTATTTCTGTCTTTTTCTTCTACTGGTCGGTTAAAAGGATGCAAATACACTGAGTGCGCACTGAATCTACCAATCGGAAACGCCATAAAATGAAACAAAATTATGCCCTAGGCTATGAAAGGTGCCGATAATAGGGGCGCTTACCTTACTTCTAATTACACGCCAGTTGTTTCTGGTCCAACTAATTAAAGTTTGCCAACCAACGAGTTGTTTCTGGTTGAGTTTTTTTAAAGTTTGTGAACCAATTTCTGTAAAAATGTGAAGAGAACTGTTTGATTTATTATTCGCAGCAGGGTCGTTCTTAGGCGAGTGCAGGTTGTGCAGGCACAAAGGCGGCCAAACTAAAAGGGCGGCCGTAGGCCGCAGAGTCAGAAACTGCAATAATCTTTTTAGGGAAAATTAAATTTCATACTTAAGGCATTTCAAAGAAACCCAGCCCCTAAAAGAATTTTTCCAATACGCATGCGATGACGTAAAATTTGCAAAAAATATCGCAAAAAGTGAAACTCTACTTGCAATTTTGCCCTAAATTTCAAATGTGGCGATTTGCGCATTCGCTTTACTTTACAGAGGACTAACCAATAAAAGTGTTCTCCGCAATTCGTTTTTCGTATCTAGGCTTAAAATTAACGTTTTTGGGCGTGGCTCTCGAAAAAAAATTTGCCTCCTGCGAGCTTCACGTCTAAAATATCTTTTAGGTTCGAGGTGTTCTAGAACCGGACTTCTTGCATCATTGGTCCTCCTACGCTATGTAGCCGATTTTTCAATGGGCAGCCCTTTAAAATAAAATAATATTCACTAGAAAATGTAGTTGTTTTGAATAGGGGCGGCTTTTTCATGCCTGCACAAAGGCGGCAGAGGGGCCATGACCGGCCCTGATTCGCAGAAGGTTCCACTTTTATTATATTTCCTAGTCCAATAAAAATTAAATCAACTTTGACCAATTC